CTTTTAGGCTTTAATTCTCAGTGCTAGGGCCCTAGCCTGCATGGTTTCTCTCACTGCTCACTCCTTTGTCTGGTTTATCTGCGCATGAATGTGTGACCACAGTCAGCCAGCCACCTTGCACCCTCACTGAGTCTGCCCATTTCCACCTCACACCTGGGATTGCCAACTGCTGCCTGTACCCCTGGGTTGGTCTAGGCCACTTTTTCCTGCAGACCCCACTCCACCAGCTGCTGACTCCGCCCCTCTTACTGGTCTGGCTGAATGGTTCGTTGTTGTCAGACTTCCCTATGGTTCAATTTTCTGTGTTTTGACTGTGTTTTTGTTACTAAAACTTTGTTGCCTTTAAACTTGGTTGTGTGAGGAGGCACAATGTTTCCACCTACGCCTCCATCTTGGCCCTCTTCTTCTAGCTTTATTAAAGTACAACTTCTATACTTCAACATATGTACCATGAAATTCAACTGTTCTTAATATATGTGCTGCTGAAGTGAGCACTAAAATTTACCTGTGATTAAATGTACAAATTAGTGATTTTAGTGAATTTACAGAATTGTACAAACATCACTCAAACCAATTTTAGAGTGTTTCCATCAACTGCGAAATATCTCTCATGCCTATTTGTAATCAATTCCCATTCCTCAACTCCAGCCCCAGGCAATGACTAATCTGCTTTCTGTCTCTAGAGTTGCCTTTTTTTTGGATATTTCCTATAAATAGATCATATGCTATGTATGCAGTCTTTTGTCTGGCTTCTTTCACCTAGCATATGTTTTATTGCCAAATAGTATTTTATTGTGCAAATGTTACTCATTTTGTTTCTCTACTCACACAATGGATGGATAAAGGAGTGTTTCCAGTTTTACACTATTATGAATAATGCTGTTATGAACGTTCAAGTACAGGTTATTGGGTGGACATATGTTTTCAGTTCTCTTATGCAGCTTCCTAGGGGTGGAACTACTGAGTAGTATAGTGAATTTACATGTAACTTTTCAAGAAAATGCCAAACTTCCAAGTGGCTGTACCATTTTACATTTTTATCAGCAGTATAGGAAGGTTCCAATTTGTCCCCGTACTCACTAACACTTACCTTTTTTAAATTATAGACATTCTAGTGGATATGAAGTAGTATCTCATTGTACTTCTAATTTGCATTCTCCTAATGGCAATGATGTTGAGCATCTTTGCCAACTGTGAGGACTGTGAGAAATAAATTTCTTTTGTTCATAAGCTCCCCAGTTTAGATAGTATTTTGTTGTGGCAGTCTTGGAGCTAATGTGCAAAGGTCATAAAAATGTCTCCTTTATTTTCTTCTAAGAGTTGTATAGTTTTATGTTTTTCATTTAGGCATATGATCTTCTGTTTCCTTTACATGTTTATTTATTTTTATTTTTGTCCAACTTTCTTGAGGTATAATTGACAAATATCAAACATATTTAAGGTATACAACATTTTGATACACTACATAGACATTGTGACATGATTACCACAAACTAATTAGCTTATCCATCATCTCACATAGTTAAGATCTTCTGTTACCTTTTTAATATCCTGCAATTTCTATCCTAATTGGCCCCTTCAGGTTTCATTCTAGAATGTTAACAGAAACCTAGTTGCCAGAGTCAATGAATGGCCTCTACTCAATTTTCTTTTCTTTTTGTATATTTTATTGTTATGCTATTACAGTTTTCCCAATTTCCCCTGCTCTGCCTTGCATCCCCCAACCCCCCAGCATTTAACCCCATCTTAGTTCATGTCCATGGGTTGTACATATAAGTTCTTTGAGCTATTTCCTATGCTATTTTTGACCTCTCCCTGTCTATTTAATGCTTATCAATTATGCTTCTTCTTCCCTGTACCTTTTCCCCCATTCCTCCTTTTTCCCTCCCTACTGAAAACCCTCCATGTGATCTCCATTTTTCTAATTCAGTTCTTGTTCTAGTTGTTTGCTTAATTTTTGTTTGTTTTTTTTTCAGGTTCATTTGTTGACAGTTGTGAATTTCTTGTCATTTTACTACTTATATTTTTTATCTTCTTTTCCTAGACAAGTCCCTGTAACATTTCATATAATAAGAGCTTGGTAGGAATGAACTCCTTGAACTTGGCCTTATCTGGGAAGCACTTCATCTGCCCTTCCATTCTAAATGAAAGCTTTGCTGGGTAGAGTAATCTTGGATAAAGGTCCTTGCCTTTCATGATTTTAAATACTTCTTTTCACCCCCTTCTTGCCTGCAAGGTTTCTTTTGAGAAATCAGCTGATAGCCTTATGGGCACTCCTTTTTAGGTAACTATCTCCTTTTCTCTTGCTACTTTTAAGATTCTCTCTTTGTCTTTAATCTTGGGTAACTTAATGATGATGTGCCTTGGTGTGTTCCTCTTTGGGTCCAACTTCTTTGGGACTCTCTGGGCTTCCCAGACTTTCTGGGAGTCTATTTCCTTCATCAGATTGGGGAAGTTTTTCTTCATTATTTGTTCAAATAAGTTTTCATTTTCTTGCTATTGTTCTTCTACTTCTGGCACCCTGATAATTTGGGTATTGAAACATTTAAAGTTGTCCCAGAGGTTCCTAAGTTTCTCCTCATTTTTTTGAATTCTTTTCTTCATTCTGTTCTGGTTGGATGTTTATTTCTTCCTTTTTTTCCAAATCGTTGATTTGAGTCCTGGTTTCCTTCCTGTCACTGTTGGTTCCCTAAATATTTTGCTTTATTTCATTTTGAGTATCTTTCATTTGTTCTTTCATTTCTGGACCAAGCTCAGTTCTGTGAGCAGTTTAATTACCAGGACTTTAAATTCTCCATCAGATAGGTTGGCTATCTCCTCCTCACTCAACTTACTTTCTGAAGATTTGCTCTGTTCTTTTATTTTGGCCCTATTTCTTTGTTCAGGGCACCTGTTAAGTTGTAAGGGGGTGGGGCCTTAGGTATTCACCAGGACAGAGCAACCCTCCTTGCTGCATTGTAGTACTGCCTGTGGGGGAGGGCCCAGAGAGGGAACAATGCAGCTTGCCTGCTCATCTCTAGCCCACTTTCCGACAAACTCTCCTGTGAGACTGGGAGTTTCTCCTACCACGGCAACCCCTGTAGTCCACAGTCAGCTCTGAGTCTCAGTTTCCCCTTAAGTCAGCCTCACCATGCAGCCCGCCACCTGCATAGGGTCTGCCGCCTTGTTGCAACGTGTTCTCTCCATCTGCCATCTTGCTGGTCTGGTTGCTCTCTTTGACTGTTTCTTTAATTCTGTGGTTGTTGGAGTTCCTTGCAGTTTGATTTTCTGGTACTTTTGGTCGTTTATTGATTTTAGATTGGTTGTTATCCTCCTTTTGGTTGTGCAAGGAAGCAAAGGGTTTCTACCTACACCTCCATCTTGGCCAAAACCCCCTTTCCTCAATTTTCATCCACTACTATTGTCAAAATATTAGATAGGTGATTAAATAATTACAATGGACTTGACAAGTAAAATAATTGCAAAAACACAAGGGAGAAAGATCAGTCCCAGGACATATTTAATGTAATCACTTACAGTACCTTGATATGAGGGTGCTTGATAATACATGCTTAATTGGTAAATAGGAAAGATCCTTCATATTAATTCTTGGGCTGACCCAGAAATTCATATACAATCTTTGGTTAAGAGTACAGTACACTAAGAGGTGTACTGAATTCCAAACTGAATTCCATTCCAGGCTTACATGTGATCAAACCTGTATCCCTCAATGAACCAGAGATTCTTAGGGATCCAAAAGACTCAGGATAACCCACGGCCAAACTGAACTTTCAAGGCAGCTCTTGAAGTACGGAGCTTTATGGGCTAAGACTGCATCTCTAGATCTGCTCTCAAGGATAGGTGAGTGGAAGGAGCCAGAGTCAGGGGAAGCAGATACATCTAACAATTAGATAAAATTTGATTAGACACAGAATTAGGTAGAAAAACACAAGGTGATTTCAAGTATTTACTTAATATGGCAGGGTCTTACATGTATTTACAGATTACAGAGAATGAGTCAGCAGGAAATGAAGCTGATATGAGAAAGACAGGGTCAGAGTAAGAGAATGATAAAGCATGATCACAAGAAGAGATGGAACACAAGTCCTCTACAAAGCCAATTTCTGTGCAGAGTGAGAATTGGGTTGAAGGGAGAATTTTTCCATTTCACTTTTACACTCTGGTATTTGCCTAAACTTTTAAAATAATTGACATTGAACATGTATTAATTTTCTAGTGGAAAAAATGTAAATGATATGAGCAGAAGAATAAGCTTTGGACATCATACATGGAGGGGAAAACCCACAACTGCTTGGATCACATGATCTCCCCCTTCTGCTTTACCTGTATGTAGCTAGTACCTCAACCTAATATATGGTAGTATTGTGGCTTTAGCTAAACTATGTTAACACCTCAAAGGCAAAAATTATGGCACATTTTGTATCTTTCTATACATTTAATTTAGTCAAGAAAACATGGATTGGGAAGTGTGCTGCAGATGACATTAACATAATCAAAACATGACTATTTTGATACATATGGGAATTTAGTTTATGGACAAGAATACATTTCAAATGAAGATGAGGAAAGATAGGTAATTTAATAGACAGTGGTATTCGATGGGTATCTGGAAAAAAGTAAAGTTGGGGTCACATCTCACATCTTATACCAAAATATATTCCTGTATAGAAAAAATCATGAGATTGAAAAAAATCTTTGAATGAGGAATGCTTCTCTATATATGACACAAAATCCAGAGGTATAGAGAAAAATATTGATCAATTCGACTTGAAAAAATAGCTGCCTGGAAAAAATACGAACAAAGTCAAAACAAATGACAAGGTGGAAATATCCGCAACTCAAATCACAGACCAAGAACTGTTTTCCTAATAAAGAACTTCTTACAAATTAGTAAGAAAAAGACCAGTAACCCACAAGAAAAATGAGCAAAGGACATAATAAGTTATTTCATTAAAAATAGATGTTACCTAGGTGCCCATCAGTAATAAGCCAAGCAGTGAAAGACAAAATACCATATGATCTCACCTTTAACAGGAAGCTAAACAACAAAACAAACAAGCAAGCAAAATATAACCAAAGACACTGAAATACAGAACAGGCTGACAGGGAACAGAGGGGAGAGGGGAAAGAATTTCAGAGGAAAAGGGGAAGGATTCACATGAACAAGTATAAAGGACACATGGACAAAAACTAAGGGGGGTAGAAATGGGAGGGAGGTGGGGAGCACTGGGGGGGGTGAGCTGGGATGGGAGTAAAAGACAGAAAATTGTACTTGAACAATAATTAAATAAAAAATGCTTAAAAATAGATCTTATACTCACTGTCACTCAAAAGCAATGCAAATTAAAACTATGAAATGCCATTTTTTTAATTATAAAATTGGCATAGATCAACAAGTTTGTTAACATTCTATTGATAAGCATGTGGGGAAGACAGGACTCGTGTATTGCTGATATTTAAGTTGGTACAACCTTTGTGGTAAGTACTGCCCATTGGTAAAATATGAGGCTTGTCCAGAAAGAATCCAGCTATGTCATATGAAAAATAGATATATTTATTGAAGAAGATGCAAGATACAAGAAACATTGTACACAGGACAATAATGCCTCAGTTGCCTTCAAAGTAGGCACCTTGGGACCTCACACAGTTCTCTGATCTTTGTTGATTGCAGCCCATAGGCATTCAACCTTCTCAAGAGTTCTGCTTATTGCAGGCCCTCCAGAATATGGATCGCTTTCAACAGATTCTCGATCATCTGAAGCATTGCGCCATACTTTAATTTGCACTGCACTCACTGCATTGTCCGAGAAAGCCTTCTGAATCATCTGAATAGTTTCTGTGGAGGAATGTTCAAGCTTAACACAAAATTTGATGCAGATTTGTTGCTCTACTCATTTAGTCATTTTGAATGTGATGGCCACACAGTACACATGCTCACTCAACAGCATCTACCACCCCCACTGACTAGTACAATGAAGTTGTCATTGTTCATACATGCACATTTCAGTCCACTCTCCTTGACTGCCAGGTTACATTGGTGTTGCACAAACCATTCTCATTACATAAACAATGGTTGCACTTTTTTCAGACAGACCTTCATGTACTCCATCTGCATCTCCTACCATTTTCTTGCTTCATCTGTATTAACCACATCACCCTCCTTACTGTCCCTCAACTATGCCAAGCACACTATCCTGTAACCTATGCACTTACCTTTCTCTACTACCCCTGAAATGCACATTTTTCCCTATTTCCTTCAGGCCTTTGCTCAAATGTCACCTCTTCAGTAAGACCTTCTTTGATCACCCTATCAAATCCAGTGGCTTCCATCCTCTCTGACCACTTATCATAGGACATTACTGTGTGTATTTGTTTATTGTGTCCTCTCCAACTAGACTGTAAACCTTATAAAGGCAAGGGCTTTGTTGTACATACTGCTGTATCCTCAGGCTCTGAATAGCAGCACATGCTCAGCACATAGTAGGTACTTATATGGTACAGAGTACTGAATGAATGAATGAATGAATGAATGAACCTCTTTGGAGGAAAACTTAGCAATATCTATGAAAATTTTAAATGCACATATCCAGCAATTCCCCTCGATGCACTATTTATAGTCATATACACATGCAAAATAGAGAATATACAAGGTTATTTTCATTGTTTGTAACAGTGAAGGAGAAAACAATCTAAAGTCAACTTTTAAAATATATCATCTACATCTATAAACTAAAATACTATGCAGATGTAAAAGAATCTCCAATTCTGAAAATTCTTTTGCCACCTTTGGCAAATATACATAATGAGTCATGACCATCTTAAGTCCCTGGTGGTGTCACTATAAGAATGATCCCTTTAATGGGGGCTTTACCTTTTAATGGTAAACAGAGTAGAAACAGACAGAAAGAATGACTAATTTTTACAGGTTTATTTAGTATTAATTTCCTTGCAGAAAACACAGGATTTCTACCAATCAAATAATAATAATATAGCAAGAAGAAAGATCTATACACATATAACCTTGCTTAACAAAAATCTCCTTTGTACATGCAAATCTATGAACAGGTCCAAACTGGAAGTACCTATTGTTCATTTATTATGGGTAGAGTTCCCATTTTACAAACAAACCTCTTACTTATGGGAAGAGGTTCAGGTTTCGGAATGTCTTTGGTTTATATTTCCAGATACCAGAAGGGCAGAATCCCCCTGCTGTTCATCAAATTACATGGACTTGCTCTTCTACTCCAGAATACTTGTAAAACAGAGTTAAATGTATATAAAGACATAATGTATACCGGATAATCCCCTGGTAACCATATACACCCTCCAATCTTATCAAATTATAATTTGCTTACTATACCCTTCCCCTCTTTTTCCTCCCAGTTTCTCATCTGGAATCCTCTATAAGCTTCTATTCAAATACTACCACTTCAAGGGCCAGGCAAAGTCCCATCTTGCCACTGAAGAACCAAGTCTTCCCTGACTATTCTGCTCTACAGTAATCTAGGCTCTGACCCTTTTTCATTTTTATCAATCATTTGGCTTTAATGTTTTTGCTGCCTAGTACTGTTAATTAGGTTTTCACAAGTTTTTGACCCATCTTCCAATTAGACTGTGAGCACCTTAAAGTCAGATTCCTATGTACTGATTTTTTTATATTCCTCATGCACCTACATAGTAGATTTTCCACATGTCTTGGTTTTGAAAAGTCACATGGTCAATCCAAATATGACCCAACATGTACATTTAGTGTTCTTTACAGATTTTTCTAGAACTGATCTATATTCTCTGTATAAACACAGAGTTTCTGTTAGCTCAATAAATGTTTGTTTTGGGGATCAGAACTCATCTGCTGACTCTGTGTCCCAGCCACAGGACTGCAGTTCATCCTGTGGAAATTCAACTTCGATGTCATAAACAAAATTTGGATCATCCTTCTTCTTCTGATTTTTCTCAAAAAGTTCATCCATTATGCTCTTTCTTTTGGCAAGTTCCTTGTCATCTAGTTTGTTCAGGTCTTCCTCGGGATCAATAGTTGTTTCCCGTCGAATTTGTTCCATTGTTTCTGCCAAACTCTGTCCCCACAAGTAACCTCGTAAAAAACTGAATAACTTTTCCAGCTGTCTCAGGGACACCTGTTCCAAGTAACTCTTGTGTCGTGGATTATTCTTTAATTGTTCAGCAGCTCTGTTGCAATCTAGGAGAGAAACAAATCTATATACCACACAGAACCTATACACCACAAACTATTGGTGCATTGCAAACTACTGACAGGATTATCTGCCATTATAGCCAAGTAGCAAAGTGGCTTTTTTGAGAACAAATTATTCTGCAGAAGTAGAATTGAGCTTTGAGTGTGGCAGAGAAAGGAGGGATATATTTTTTATTTTCATAACCTAAGAGGTCTGTTTAACTCTGAATGCCATGTCACACCACAAGACTCAAATCATTCTTATTAAGTGATTTAGAGAATATTTAAGATAGGAGGCATGATAAAACATGAGGTACCTGAAAACTTTGAAAAGTTTCGTACAGGCATAATGCGCTGGCGATTTTTCCCCTTCATTTCATTCTCATAGATTAAGATAATAGCTGGAGGCTGGAATCTAACTCCACATTTCTTGGCAGTGCACATCATTCTCACATACTCGTCAGGGTAAATCAGAGGAAATCTGATGAAGATGTGTTAGTCACATAATGACTTCCTGAAAAAGAGAAAAAAAATTACCATAAGTGTTGGATAAATCACACTCCTCCCTATCCCTCTTCCCCAGTGTATCTGGCTCTAGTCCAGATCTAAATCAGTTCTAGAGATGCATGATCAGCCTATCAACCTCAATATTTCAAGGGTTACCCCTGAAAGTTCCGTTTGGCCCTTGGTTAGCCTTAGTCTGTTGGGTCCCTGATTCACTGAGGGCTGTAGCTATAGTCACACATGAGCTTAGAAATGCAGTTCGGTTTTGATTTCTTAGTGTACTGTACTCTTAACTAAAGTTTGTATATGAACCCATGAGTCAGCCCAAGAGCTGACTTATGGGATCTTTTTTATTTACCAATTAAACAAGTTTATACAAGCATGCTCCATAATCTTAAACATTATGTCTGGAGGGGTTCACCAGACCAAATCTATTTACCTTGTACTTTCCCAATCATTGTATTCCTGGAGTTTTGGTAATTACTTTTTAAAAAAGACTTTATTTATTTATTTTTAGAAAGAGGGGAAGGGAGTGGGTGAATCCCAGATGTGGAGAAGCGGGCGGACCCACTGAGGGCTGACGGAGGTCACACACTCTCGCGCAGATAAACCGGTGAAGGAGCTAGCAGTGAGACGCGCCGCTAGGGCCCAGGGGCAGGAAACAGCAGAGGGAACTGCCACTGTCCCTCTCCAACCCCGCCCCCACATACAGCGTCAAAAACCAGCGACCTGGGTGGCCCCACCCTGGTGAATTCTAGAATCCTAGAAGCAGCAAGAGATAAGGGGACAGTCACCTACAAAGGAGTTCCCATCAGACTGTCAGCGGATTTCTCAAAAGAGACCTTACAGGCAAGAAGGGGCTGGAAAGAGGTATTTCAAGTCATGAAATCCAAAGACCTACATCCAAGATTGCTCTATCCAGCAAAGCTTTCATTTAGAATGGAAGGACAGATAAAGTGCTTCTCAGATAAGATCAAATTCAAGGAGTTCATCATCACCAAGCCCTTATTATATGAAATGTTAAGGGGACTTACCTAAGAAAAAGAAGATTAAAAAGATGAACAGTGAAAGGGCAGCAAACTCACAGTTATTAAGAACCACACCTAAAACAAAGCAAACTAAGAGGACAGCTAGATCAGGAGCAAAAACATAGAAATGAAGATCACATGGAGGGTTAGCAACACGGGAGTGGGAGAAGGAGAAGGGGGGAGAAGGTACAGAAAATAAGTAGCATAGATGGTAGGTAGAAAATAGATAGGGGGGAGGGCAAGAATAGTATGGGAAATATAGAATCTAAAGAACTTGAGACACGTGGTCATAAACTAAAGGGGGGAATGGTGGGGGGGTGTGCAGGGTGGAGGGGAATGAAGGGGGGAAATAAAACAACTGTAATGGCATAATTAATAAAATATATTTTAAAAACTAAAACTAAAACTCTAAAAAAAAGAAGAAAAACAACTATCTTATAGGTTAATACTTTCTATTCCCTTTTCCCTCCTCTACCCCCAATGCCAAAGCATATTTCATTATAGGGACTATTTTAGATGTGACTATATTATTCCCAGGAAAATTTGCAAATATCAAGGAATCTAGAAGTAAAGCAGCATTGGGTAACCATATACTCAGTTCTGTCAGTGAATCACTATAGGAACATAGTTATTTAATACATATTCACTGTAGAAAACTGGAAGTGATGGTGGGATGGAGTATAGGGAACCTATCCACATGGCATGGTGAATGTAACCCAGCCCCCAACTTGGAAAACTGGTGGGGAGCAAGTTGGCACATAAGAACCGAGCCCATGGATTTGTTTTTCCATGGGGAATCAGGCCTGCATTGTACCTAGGCTGCTATGAGGTTTGCTTTTTGTGAAAACTCCCTCATCCTGAATTGAGGCAACAAATGTTTACTGCATATCTTTAAAGTAACTTCGTAAAATCTATGCTAAACCTCCCAAGGATGGAGTGTAACCAGGTCAACCACTCTTCACCTTGCATCTAAAACATCCTTTTCTTTGAAGTAATTAGCAACATTCTTTCCTTTGTTATCTGTAAAAGGTAACCACCTAAAGCAAACCTGTGCATAGTAAATGAAGACCATCCTCAAAGTAATGTACCCAGAAAAGCAATAAAAGCCTGTCCAGGCAGGGGTCAGGGCCCTCCTCTCAGAGAGTGGCCATGCCATCCCTTCTTCTCTACAGACTTCTGTAGTTCGTGTGAATTTGTTTGTCCCAGACACAACACATGTACCCCATGGGCCCAGAGTCCACATCAACATGGGGTGGAGGAAACATATAAAATAAGCACCCTTGATTCCTCCCAGTCTTTTTCCTAGACATAGTTTTATTTTTTAACTATAGTATGTTCTTTTATATTACACATACTATTAAATTTAAACAACCTTTCAAATTTAATAACCTATGTAATTTTGCCATTAAATATTCTACTAAAATCTGAATTTTAGTAGAATGTCCTATGGATATACCAAAATGTCTATTATTCACCCCTTATTGCTAGGTGTGAGAATTTTGTATTTAGAAAATTAATAACATGTAAAAAATGCTTTTTCAAATTTCTGTACTCTGCCCCTGATTTAATGCAATGATCCTCCCCACTCGACCCCCTCTTTCTTCTTCTTTTTTTAAAAACAAATACTAATCCCACTAAAATCTGGTACGTTAGCAAATTTTCTAGGAGATTCCACTGAACACAAATTCTACACACTCAAGCAAATGGCTGTACTCATGAAGAATATATACAACTGATACTCAATAATGTAATTCTGATTACAGACATTTGTATATTTTTAAATTTAAAAAACTTTTATTTTTACTAATGTTTGTATCCTGTCTAAAATGTAAAAATAAGTCTGATACTTATAATAAATCTACTGTCCTTCTCTCTTCTCCTCTGTATAGACAACCAGTTTCAATTCTTTCAAGTTTCTTCCAAAATTTAGCTCTATAGTTCATCATAGCATGCTTATTCTGCTATTTTCAGTTTTTATCTTCTGATATCTTTCCTCTTTGAGTCATTCGTCCTACAGCCCTCTGTTCTGCTCCAACCTGCAATGGACACTCTCTCAGCCTACTTACAGATTCAGCTAAATTTCTTAAGACAGACGGACGCTTCTTCCTAGACACTAAGACTCTGCCTCCCTCACTCCCCGCCCTGCCTAGCCCCAAGGAACAGTGACTGCCAGAATCTAGCCAAGCATCCCCCACAGTGTATGGATTTTGCCAACATGTAGACAGACGATCCTCTCCCTGCTCAGGTCTCTACCAGTGAAAGACTTTTTTTTTTTTACCCTTAGAGAAGTACAGTAAATGCATTTTCTCTGGCAGGACATCATCTAAAACCTCCGTGAGGGGGGTTGTTTCCATCCAACTGCAGTGCACTGAGAAGCACCTGACTCGACTTTGACACCCGGCAGAGCCTGGCATTGCAGTACGAGGCGACAGCCACAGTCCTATAGACAGGGCTGTGGGGTAAAACTCCCCGGCAGGAAGCCCGAATCCACAAATACCTGGAGGTGGAAGTCGAGAACAACAACTGGACGAGCCCGCACCGCAGCCAGCGTGCCTAGGTCACAGTCGGGTTCCGGGCCCAGGAAACCGTTCCCACAGAAATAGCCCCGCTGCTCTCAAAGGCGCTTGCGCCTTTCCTTTCCCCGCCCCCAACCGGAACACCAAGGGGCGGGGCTCGCGAACGGTGAGAGCGAAGCTCGGTTTCCGAGTGCAGCCTCGGGAGAGCGTGGAAGTTTCGCTCGCCGGGCTTGCAAGGAGTAGTGGCGGGGAACTGGGGGACCGAGAGCGTGAGGACACCAAAGGCGTGGGTGCCCGTAGGCTTCCGTCCCAGTCACTAACTCCTTAGCAGCGCGCTCTAGGAGCGGCGTGAAGCGTATGCGGGCTTCTTTTCCGCATTTCGCCCGGGCGCGCTCCTCTCCGGAGCACGTTCTTCGGCGTCCTGGCTGCCCCTGCCTGGATCGTGGTGGTCCGAGTGGTGGCCTGGATATTCCTCTGGGAGTCAACCTGCACTACAGCTACCGCCCTCAATGTCGCACCCACCGACGCGGGTAAAGGGAAGGGCGTGTCTGCGGGAATGGGGGCCGGATTTGAGGGCCAAGGGGGTGAGCCGCAGCTCGGACTTCCGAGTCCTCTCCCTTAAGCTGTTCGCTAGGGTCGTTCACTGTAACCCGGCGCGCGACCCTAGAACTGTGTGCTGAGCTGGAAGAGATTAAAAACAGAGTCGACGTATCTCCTCTTCTGTCACCCCACTCGTCCCCAGCACAGCTCTGTGGACTCTGGAGAGTCGGGATCTGTTGTTCCGAGGCAGGACTGGCCACTCTGTTACTAAAATATTGTGAAGGAAGTACAGCCTTGAAGCGTCTTGGGATGCATGAAGTTTCTTAACAGGAAGGGGCCAGCAAGGCTTCCGTGCCCTGCGAGATGTGAGAATCCCAATCCAGAATACAGAGACTGGGGGAGTGGGGAGAAAACGACTAGTTTTGTCTTACAAACATTAAAAAAAATTTCACTCATCCCAGGTGTTTACTTTTTATTTTTTAATTATATTTTATTGATTATGTTGTTCCAGTTTTTCCCCCTTTCCCCCCCTCCACCCAGTACCCCTTACTCCCTCAGGCAATCTCCCCACTCTATTGTCCCCTGGCCACCTGTCATGCGTGGAAGTTCTTTAGCTACTCCATTGCTTACACTCTACTTTTGGACTAGGGTTTCTTTATCATTCCTGCCTAAGCAAGGGAGTTGGTTGATTTCTTTGGGCCCAAGTACGTGGGCTGGAGTGCTGTACTAGTTGTGGTTCCAGCCCTCCTTGAGCGTTCATTGTGGGGGAGGAGACAGATTCCTGTAGTGATAATTAGATAAATTATGACTTTGATAAGGAAAGGAAAGTCAAGCCACGTGAGTTTCTCCATCTGGAAAATGAGCATTATCAGACTAGTGTTTGTCAGTCAATGCAGTTCTGCTTTTGTATGTTTACATATCTATTATGTTTCAAAATTCATATGAAGAAAAGATTTTGAGGCCAAAAAGGTTTTTTTTTAAATTATTTATTTATTTATCTTTAGAAGGGAATGGAAGGAGAGAAGGAGAGGAATATCAATGTATGGTTGCTTCTGGTGCATCCCCTGCTGGGAACTGGCCCCTGCTGGGAATTGACCGGCAACCCAGGCATGTACCCTGATGGGGAATCGAACTGTGATCTTTTGGTTCACAGGCCCGTGCTCAATCCACTGAGCTACACCAGCCAGGGCCAAAAAGTTTTTTATATGTTTTATTCCATATGCCATTACAGTTGTCCCATTTCCCCCCCTTTCATTCCCCTCTACCCTGCACACCTCCTCCCCCACCATTTCCCCCATTTAGTTCATGTCCATGTTCTTTAGAACATGGTTCTTTAGATTCTATATTTCCCATACTATTCTTGTCCACCCCCCTATTTTCTCCTTACTGCCTATGCTACTTAGTCTCTGTACCTTCTCCCCACCCCCCCACTCCCCTGTTGCTAACCCTCCATACGATCTCCATTTCTATGGTTCTCCTCCTGTTTTAGGTGTCCCCTTAGTTTGCTTTTGTTTTAGGTGTGGTTGTTAATAACTGTTTGTTGTTCTTTCACTGTTCATATTTTTTATCTTCTTTTTCTTTGATAAGTCCCTTTAACATTTCATATAATAAGGGCTTGGTGATGATGAACTTCTTGAATTTGACCTTATCTGAGAAGCACTTTATCTGCCCTTCCGTTCTAAATGAAAACTTTGCTGGATAGAGCAATCTTGGATGTAGGTCTTTGGATTTCATGACTTGGAACACTTCTTTCGAGTCCCTTCTTGCCTGTAAGGTCTCTTTTGAGAAATCAGCTGCCAGTCTGATGGGAACTCCTTTGTAGGTGACTGTCCCCTTATCTTTGCTGCTTCTAGGATTCTCCTTCATTTTAATCTTGGCTAATGTAATTATGATGTGCCTTGGTGTGTTCTTCCCCGGGTCCAACTTCTTTGTTACTCTCTGAGCTTCCTGGATTTCCTGGAAGTCTATTTCCTTTGCCAGATTGGGGAAGTTCTTTTAATTTTTCCACTTGTTGCTCTTCCTCTTCCCCTCTGGTAGCCCTATAATTCGGTTGTTGGAACATTTAAAGATGTCCTGGAGTTTCCTAAGCCTCTCCTCATTTTTTTGAATTCTTGTTTCTTCATTGTTTTCTGTTTGGTCGTTTTCTTCTTCCTTCTGGTCTCCTACATTGATTTGAGTCCCAGTTTCCTTCCCATCACTATTGGTTCCCTGTGTATTTTGCTTCATTTCACTTAGTGAAGCCTTCATTTTTTCATCTAATTTGTGACTAAAATCAACCAGTTCTGTGAGCATCCTGATCACCAGTGTTTTGAACTGTGCATCTGATAAGTTGGCTATCTCTTTGTTGCTTAGAAGTATGGGCCCTGGGGCTTTGAGCTGTTCTTCTTGAGCCATAATGTTTTGGTCTGTTTGCACCTGTTATGTATGAGGTGCGGAGCCTAAGGTGTTCACCAGGGTGGGGCAACCCAGGTCACTTGGTTAAGAAGCTGAATGTGGGGGTGGGGTCAGAGAGGGGCACTGGCCCTTGTTCCACACTCTCGGATTTTGGTCTCCTCTGCTGCTTCCCACAAGCAAATTGGGCCCTTCTGGTACCAGTTCCCAGATGTGTGGGCTTTTGCACCCTCCAGAACCCTATGGGTCTCACCAACAAACTCTGTGAGCCTGGGAGCCTCTCCTAGCACCTTGACCCCTGAAAGATTTTCCAATTGGTGCTTTTAGGCTTTATTTCTCAGCACTGGGGCCCTGGTTTGCGTGGTCTATCTCACTGCTCGCTCCTTTGCCTGGTTTATCTGCACACGAATGTGTGACCAGGGTCAGCCAGCCGCCTTGCCCCCTCACTGGATGTGCCGGTTGCCACCCTGTGCCTGGGGTCTGCCAACCGCCACCTGCGCACCTGGGTTGGTCTGGCCACTTTTTCCTGCGCAAAGCCTGCCTCTCCGCCAGCCACTGTCTCCACCCCCTTTTACTGGTCTGAATGAATGATTCGTTGTTGTCAGACTTTGGTACAGTTTAATTTTCTCTCTGTTTTGGTTGTGTTCTGGTTTTTAAATATTTGTTGTTCATAAACTTGGTTGTGCGAGGAGGAACAGTGTTTCCTCCTACGCCTCCATTTTGGCCGTAAGTCCAAAAAGGTTTTTTAAACCATTGGACTTGGTAACATCTTTCTAGACTGTTCCCACACTGGCATTTTATGATTCAAAAAGGGTCAATTTCCCGAGGGAGTACAAACAGACCACAATAACCAAATAAAGTAATACTTAAGTGAAAAAATATATAAGGTGAGTTCAGATGCAAGAAATTTGTTTTGAAGATGGTACTTTTGCCTTAAAAATGATAAATTGTCTAGTATTTGCTATATTGTTTATAAATTAGCCTTCCTACCATCTCCAGATGAATGTGATTTACTACTCTCTAGTGTATATTCCAACTTAAACCTTTCATCTTACCTTTTTTATAATTTAATATATTGATATTTAAAAACTCTTATTCCCTACCCCACCCCCCTTAGTATTAACATGATGAAGAAACATCTGGATTTGTACAAGAGGTGCCCTAAGTTATTTGTTTGTGGTAAATAAGGCTTTCTTTAAATAGCTAGGAAAGTGGAAATATTTGAGGCTTTAAATGTCAGGCAAATCTGGCTTTTAATCAGTCACTTATTTGTAAGACCCAGAGCCAGTTAGTAACTGTTATAAAGCCTCCTTTGTACAAATGGCAATAATTTTGAATTCCTATTTTGCTAGGTTGTGAAAGTTAAAATTCATGTGAAAGCCCCAAGTAGAGTATCCGTCATATAAATATTATTTAAGAAATGTTATTTTTCCATAGTTTTTCCCTTTCTTCCCTTGTATATTTCAGATGTTTTCATCTCCATGTCACTTTTCTTCATGTGTATTGTCAGGAATATATCTAGTGGACCTAGCAACATACAATACAATATGGGTTTTAGTGTGTTTGTTCTAATGTTCTTTCTGTACACTGCCAGCTTTTGAAAATGGGGTAAAATTATATAGCAAGATGCCTGGCAGAGTTGGTGATCTGATCATCAGTAATTGAATTTTTAATTGTGTGATGCTAAAATTAAGTAATAGTTTTAATGTCTGAAATCTGCATGGAGTCTGTATAGTGAGATTTCTGGTTATTCTAAGTTTATAGAGGAACCCTTTGAAAAAAACTCCAGTTTGGTGTGGATGGTAGAATATAGAAATTGCCAGTATGAATCTAAAAAACAGTTTCAGTGAGCTGGAATTAAAACTGAGATTTTCTGGCTCTTTTTTTTTTTAGCTATTTTGTTCTTTTTGGTGTTCTGGGATCATCTGAACAAAGTAATATTAGTAACAAATACTTACATATAGTACTATGTGGTCAGACCTGTTCTAATTCCTTCTACAGTTATTTTTTCATGACAGCTAGCAGAGCAATGAACCAAAGTCACACAGCTATTAAATGACAGACTTGGATTTGAAGATAGGCAATAACTCCAAAGTCAATGTTCTTAACCCCTGTGCTATATATACTAGAAGTAGATTAATATGTAGTTCAATTTAAGTTTTAAAAGTTTTTGTTTTATTTTGAGGTTGGCTACATTTTTCCATTCAAGTAAAGCTTATTAAAATAATTATTTTCTAATTATTTAAGTATTCTTTCATTATGTGCTTGCTTTATTTAAACAAAAAACTCTTTTGGTTCTTACAGGCATAAGGGCCACTTGCTCTGAAATTATTTTGCAGCAAGAAGTTCTGAAGGATGGTTTCCACAGGTAAATTGCCTATACTTGTATTTGCATCAAAGTACTGTTTCATATAATGTAGAGGAAAAAAAATCAGTAGTTGAAAAATGGTTGAACTGAAAAAAATCACTTGCTTTATTCCAGTTATAAGTGACAGATTTTTTATATATGGTTACAGTTTGAAATAACGATTAAAATAACAGTGGAAAAGAAAACATGTTTGTTATTTACCATATAGTTAGAAGTTGTATATACAATATCCTGTTTAATCTTCACAGTGGTTGTGAGATGGATGATACCTTTCTAATTTTTCAGGTGAAATAACTAGGGCACAGAGAATTTAAATAATTTGGTAGTGGGTAGGGTGGCTCCAGTTTAGGACTACTCTGCTCCAAAGCTGTGTTCACAAGTAGTGCTAAGATATTATACCACCCTAAGTCACTATTCGTGATTTTCAAGACTTGGTTCCAAATGACCAAGCTGTTTCCAAAATACAAATTATCCTCAAAAATTAGTATTTGCCAGTATTGAAGGTATTTAAAAGACTGGTAAAACGTTGTAGAAACTGCTCCATAAGAAAACTTCCCAAACTTTAAAGCTTCTCAAAGTGATTACTCTGAAATGATTCTCAGGTATTTGATGTAAAAATTCTAATACATTTATTTATTTGTTTATTAATCCTCACCCAAGGATATGTTTATTGATTTTTAGGGAGAAAGAATTAGGGGGCAGAGAAAGAGAGAAACATTGACATGAGAGAGAAACATTAATTGGTTGCCTCCTATTCCAGGGATTGAACCTGCAACCTTTTGGTATAGGGGATGATGCACCAACCAACTGAGCCATCCAACCAGGGCCTGATAATGTTTGTTTTTAAAATCGCTTCATTTATAAGTCACCTTAAACTAAAATATCTCACCCTCCTCTTCAAAGTTGGCCTACATGTGAATGACTAGGAGGTATAGAAAGAACTTGGGGTGGGGTTATTTTTTGTTGTGGTTTTCTTTTTAACTCAGATTTTGGCTCAAAATGTAGCTCTGTTATTTAATATCTGCATGGCGTTAATCAAGTTACTTAAGTTTTACTACCTTATCAGTAACACTGGATAAGGATAGTAGTTCCTCATTAGGGTTGTGAGAACTAAATCAGACACTAGTATTTGGAAAGCCCTTTAATATGGTGCTTGTCACATACTGCACACCTAGAAAAGGTTGGGTATTATTATTAATATTGAGATAGGTGATCAAGCAGGGAAATACAGTTTCAGTTAAAGAGGAGATATGACTATAAAGTAGTAAAACTGACTTTGGAAGGGAAGTTGCTTCTGAAAGGAGTTTTTTTTGACAAGAGTTCCTGGCACATTTTACCCAGTGTCAAGGTAATTGTGCCAAGTGTATAGCTTCTCTCTTTAAAGTAATTGGGATGTATTCTCAGGAGGACTGGGAGATAATAAATAATGTAAAGATGACAGTATAATCATAAATGATTCTAATAAGGAAGAAAGAAGTACCTGGAGAGGCTATTGTGAGGGCAGAAGTAGCTGTTCAATTGTAAATATTGCAGATAAAAAGCAGGAAATAAAACCAAATATGAAGAGAGGCAGAACCTACAAGAATAGCTTCAGAAACTAGAAATCTGTTATTTGAGACCTTCAGAATATGCCTGTAATCATTGTTTTAAAAAAGGCTTTTTAGTTATGTGTAGAGCATGTATAGTCTTGCTGCTAGGGTAGATGAGGAAATATTAACAGATTAAAGAAAGTAAAATTTGATAGGTCCTCTTATTTCTATCTTCTTGGTCAGGAAGAATTCCACTTTGGAAAGGGTCAAGCAAGCATTGGTAGTAGGAAACTGAAGTGCAAAATGTGTAAGGGAAGTATACAAAAGGACCTTACTACTATAAATGACTGTAGGGTCTCCCCTCTCTGATGAACTATATCTTGTTTCAGTGGGAGAACTTGCTTGAATGATTGCTGAACTTCTGTTTGTAATCTTTGGATAATCTGGGAGTTAGTTGATGTAGGTTCTGGGCAAAATTTTAGACCAGATTATTAAAAGGATGGTTTGTACACACAGGAGGAAGTGGAGGTCTCTGGGAATTAGAGAGACTTATTTAAAATTTATTTATTAAATTTATTTATTAAAAACTTATTTTCTTTTAGAGCTATTAGATAGGTAGATCAGAGAAATGCTGGAGCATTTCCATATAACTTTTGGAATCAACTTGTAGATTTCATCAAAAAAGCATTGTGAAATTTTGTGTGGGATTCTGTTGAAACTTAGATCAATTTGTAGAGAACTGATTGTGAATGTTGAATGTTCTAATGCATGAATATGGCATCTTCATTTATTTAGGTTTTATCGGTTTAATCTTAACGATATTGTAACTTTCAGAGTCTATGTCTTACACATACTTTGTTAAACGTATCCCTAAATATTTCATGTTTTTTTATGTAAAATTTTCATTTCTACTTGTTTGTTGCTAATAATAGAAATACAGTTGATTTTTGTATCGTGTTTTAGTACCCTGATTCCTTATGAAATCACTTATCAATGCCTATAGCCTTTTTGTAGACTCCTTGGGCTGTTCTACATAGGTGATCATGGGTTTGTAAGTAAAGACAATCTGTGCACTTGTTATATGTTTTTATGCCCTTTTTTACCTGGCTAGGATCTCCAATAGGACATTGAATTAAAATTTGTTATTTTATCCAGTCTGTCAATCTCTACATTCTAATTGGAGTGATCAGACCATTTACTTTTAGTGAATGTTGGTTTGGTTGGGTTGGCTGAAACTTACCCATCTGGCTACTTATTTTCTATTTCGTCCATCTAGTCTTTCTCTTCTTGCCTTATTTGGATAAACTAAGTATTTTTTAAGCATGTTGTTTTATCTCTATTTTTGGCTTATTAACTGTATTTCTTTTTTTTTTAGTTGGTTGCTTTAGGGTGTACAGTGTACAATTTAACTTACCACAGTCTACTTTCAAATAGTATTATTTTACACCGTGAATAATGTATGACTCTTACATCGAAATAGTTCATTTCCTCCCCCTTTTCTTTATGCTATTGTTGATATACATTTGTTAACTTTACATTTTACTTACGTTGTAAACCCCACCATATATTGTTATTATTTTTATTTTGAAGAGTCATGTTACATTATTATTTATTTTATTTCTGGCAAATACCCATAATATAAAATATACCATCTTAAACCTTTAAAATTGTACACTTCAGTGGAATTAAGAACATTTACACTATTGTGTTACCATCACCACCATCCATCTACAGAACTCTTCACCTTGCAAAACTGACATTATACCTCTTAAACATCAACTCTCTATTCTCCCCTTTTCCCAGCCTCTGGCTACCACCATTGTACTTTCTATCTCTCTGAATTCGACTATTCTAGGTACCCCATATAGGTGGAATTATACAGTACTTATGATTGGATTATCTCACATAGCATAATGTCCTCAAGTTTCATTTATATTAATTTTTTTGTGTAATTGTCATATTGTTTTTAGTAGTGGTTGCACCATTTCACATTGCCGTCAACAATGCACAGGGGTTCCAGTTTCTCTATCAATCATATTTTAAAGCAATTAAAAAATGAGAGAACTGTTTTTATGTTCACCCACATATTACCATTTGCTCTTCTGTCTTTCTTGTAGATTTAAGTTTCCATCTGATTTCCTTTTTCTGCCTGAAGAACTTCCTTTACTATTTATTGCAGTGACATATTCTTTTAGTTTGTGTTTGTCTTAACCTTTATTTTTGAAGGGTTTACCTCCTGGATATATAATCCTAAATCGACAGCTTTTTTTCTTTTAATACTTTACATACATTGTTCCATTGTCCTCTGGTGTGTTCTTATGTTTGTTACTCTACACATAAAGTTCTTTTTTTTCTTTGATTGCTTAAAAATTTTTTTTTCAGTGACTGGATGATAATATGTCTTAGAATGGGGTATTTTTTGTGTGTGTTTATTCTGCTTGGTGTTTGTTGAGCTTTTTGGATTTACTAGCTTAGATTTTTCATGAAAACCAGAAAATTTTCAGCCATTATATCATCTTCAAATTTTCTTTCTGTTATGTTCTTTGTTCTGTCTCTCTCTCGGCCTCTTTTGACATTCTCTACTTGAGACTGTTGAAAGATCTTTGGAACTGTTTCTCCCACCCCCATTCTTCTTTGCTCAGAATGCTTCGGTTTGTATAGTTTCTGTTATTGTGTCTCGAAGACACTGATTTTTTTCTTCTGCAGTGTCTAAGTGCTTCTAATCATATCTGGATAGATTTTATTTCAGAAATTGTCTTTTTCATCTCTCAAAGTTGCATTTCAACATATATTTCTTCACTTTCCATCATAATGTTCATGTTTTTCTTTAAATCCCCGACATGTTAATAGGTATATAATGTCCTCTGCTAATTTTGTCACTGTCATTTCTACTTCTGTTTCTTTGAGTGATTTTTTTCTTCATTATTGGTCTCATTTTTCTGCTGCTTAGCGTATTTAGTAACTTTTGATTGAATACTGAATATTGTAGATATGAATGTTTTTGAGTGTGTAGATTTTATCTTCTTTTAAAGGAGTTAGCAGTTTCATTAGTAGTTTTTCTTAAGGTATTATTTTAAAGATTTTATTGATTTATTTTTAGAGAGAAGGGAAGGGAGGGAGAAAGAAAGGGGAAGAAACATTGATGTGAGAGAGAAATGTAGATCAGTTGCTTCTCATACACACCCTGACTGGGAACTGAACCCACAACCCAGGCATGTGCTCCAACCAGGACTAGAACCAGCATTAGCCCTTTGCTTTGTGGAATGATGTCCAAACAACTGAGCCACACCGGTCAGGAATATTGGTAGTTTTAAGTTGCTTATTTATAAACTTGATCCTTTTAACCTTTTTTTTCTATGGGTCTAGAGTTACAAATGGCCCTTCATTACTGCAAGGCTAATAATTTAGCTACTAAGGCTTTACCTGTTGGATTTCGAGTGAAAGCTTTGGTTGGGATCCCCATTGGGATTTCTTTGCTTTGGTTGGTTGGAATGGAAATATCTTCCTACCTTGTGTGAAATTTTAGAATTTCTCATCTTTTGGTTCCCTGGTCATCATGTGCCCATCTTGTGGAGTTACGCCTCACTCCTGCGTATCTTAGTATTCCACAGATACTCAAGAGGACTCCCCAGTTCATATTTCTAAGCTTTTCCTACATAGTTTCCTCCTCTCTGGAGCTTAGTGTTATGACTTCCAGCCACTTCAGCTTTCCTTAACTTTTATATCTATTTTCTCACCTAAGCAAAATTGTCATGGTATACTTTGGATCTCATTTCCTGCATTTGGTCCAAGTGTGCCCCCAGACACAAAGCTAAGACAATTATATGTTTAGGTTTATAGTTTATTTCAAGTTAATTTTTGTATATGGTATGAGGTTTAGGTCAAGGTTTATTTTTTTCTATATGGATATCTGTTTGTTTCAATGTCATTTTTTGAAAAGACTATCCTTTCCCCATTAAATTATACTGTTTTTGAAAATATGTGTGTCTACCCCTGACTGGTGTGGCTCAGTTGGTTGGGCATCATCCCACTGAAGCAAAAGGTCGCCAGTTCGATTCCCAGTCAGAGCACATGCTTTGGTTGCAGGTTCAGTCCCCAGTCAGGGCACATTTGAGAGGCAACCAGTCAATGTTTCTCCCTCACATAGATGTTTCTCTTCCTCTCTTTCTCTTTCCTTTTCTTTCCCTCTAAAAATAAATAAATAAGTTTTAAAGAAAGATAATATGTGTGTGACCATTTTTGGACTCTATCTTTTTCTATTGACTTTTGTCTGATTTCACACTAATACAGTGATTTTTAACCTTTTTTCATTTCACAGCGCATCTAAACTAATTACCAAAATTCTGTAGCACACCAAAAATAGGTACGATTTTGATTTATTCACATTGGATGGCTATTGTGTTGACTTTTTTTATTTGACAGTCTAAGGGAAAAGAGGTCAGTGTCCTTGACTAAAAAAATGTTAGGTATTGCATGTTTTAAAAATTCTTTCAACTAGCAGTGTCCCTCTTGTGGCACACTGGTTGAAAATTGTTGCACTAATATAATACTGTGGATTCTGACGTAAATACATGAAAGATCTAATGCACAGGCGGCAAATACAAGGCCTGCGAGCCGAATCCGGCCCTCCACCTGTTTTATCTGGCCCGGCACCTTGTTTCTGCCCGCGGCAGGGCTGAGCTCCTTGCCCCTAGTTAAGGAGTAGTTACATCTGTACAGTCCTAAAATTCCATTCGGCCCTTTGAAGGCAACCGCAAGGCTGATGTGGCCCCTGGTGAAAATGAGTTTGACATCCCTGATCTAATGGGTGATTCTGACATTATATAAATATTTCATTTGACTTTATAATCTATAGTGTTTCTACTCATTTGAATGTAGTATTATGCTATCTCATTAACAATTGAATGAAGAGATTTACTTTAAACATATTTGTCTTACAGAGACCTTTTAATAAAAGTGAAATTTGGAGAAAGCATGGAGGACTTACAGACCTGCCGCCTCTTAATTAAACAGTACATCCCAACAGGACTTTTTGTGGACCCATATGAGTTGGCTTCATTACGAGAGAGAAACATAACAGAGGTACAACTACTAGAGGATTTTTACAACTATTAGAAGATTTTTTTGAGAGGATTTTTTTTTGAGGAAGCTAGTATGCAAGATTTAGGCAACCTAGTATGCAAGAAAACTAAACTGTAGTATTTTTTATTCATTTTGTAAGCATAAACAGTAACACCTTTTAATTGGGATAGGAGTTTCTTCTATATATATATTTTTTTAATTACTTTATCATCATTCAGTTACAGTTGTCTGCATTTTCCCCACCCCAGCCAATCCCACCTTTCTCCCTTGCTTCCACCCTCCCTCTGGGTTTTGTCCATGTGTCCTTTATAGTAGTCCCCTCCCCTCTCCCCTCTGGGATAGGAGTTTCTTTAACAAGTGAGTGATACTTGTACTTGAACTAGTAAATGCTTTTTGGCAAGTTAGTTTCTAGTTTAGTGACTAGAAAAATTATATATGTATCTAAGAAGATTAACGAGTAATTAATCCTGTTTCAACAGCAACTTTGTTATATTATTTTTTTTTAAGATTTTATTCATTTTTAGAGATGGGGGAAGGGATGGAGAAAGAGAGGGAAACATCAATGTGTGGTTGCCTCTTCAGCGCCCCTGACTGGGTACCGGGTCTGCAACTGAGGGCATGTGCCCTGACTGGGAATCGAACCAGCACTTTTATTTCTCAGGCCGCCACTCAATCCACTGAGCCACACCAGCCAGGGAAGCAACTTTGTTAAACTAGAGAGACATACCCCAACATCTGTATAATTTGAGTATGAGAGGAAAGGAAATTAATATTTATTGGATTTCTTTTTTTTAAAGATTTTATTTATTTATTTTTAGACGGAGGAAAAGGGAGGGGGGAAAACATCAATGTGTGGTTGCTTCTCACATGCCCCCAGCTGGGGACCTGACCTGCAACCCAGGCATGTGTCCCGACTGGGAATCAAACCAGCAACCCTTTGGTTCACTAAATCTTATTTCGGTATGTCTAGATTAGACCTCAAAATCTACTTTTAATGACTCAGGTGATTCCTATTAATAAATTTTGGGAAACACTGTCTTAGTTCATAAGATTATAATCTAAATATGAATTTTAAAAAGACAAAATATAGATACACTTGGAGTCATTCATGATGGCAATTTACTTCTAATTCTGTTTAGGGCAATTTTTTCTCTTTCTTTCTTTGTTTATTTAAATTTCTTTTTGAATAGGTAATTACATTCTCATGCTTCAAAATTCATAAGGTATAAAAAGGTACACAGTGAGCCCTGGCTGGTGTAGCTCAGTGGATTGAGTGCGGGCCTGCAAACTAAGAGATCACGGTTCAGTTCCCAGTCAGGGTACATGCCTGGATTACAGGCCAGTTCCTGTTATCTCCCTCTCTCCTTCCCTTCCCTTCTAAAGATAAATGAATAAAGTCTTATTTTAAGAAAAGGTACACAATGGTAAGCTTCCAGCTCTCTTAATTCCCATTCATCAAGGTTTTTCCTGTGTTCTATTTTGTGTATATATAGCAGTTTTGATACCCATGTTCATATATACCAGTTTAGATACGTATACACATGTGGAAAGACCTTGTTGCTTTTTTTCCTCATTTGTTTCTTGTCTGAGTCATGAATTCTGAGTGAGGATTTTGAAACTTCAAATAATAGGCTTTGAATTTAAGTGCAGTTTTTTGGCTTGTAGTGACATGTATTAGAATTATATTTAAATCTACTTAATAAAATTGTCTTCTATTTTTTAAGAAAATGGAATTTTTTTTTTTGCATAGAAGCGCCCAGAAAGAAGTTACATGCCCACACCTTTGGTTGGGATGAGATTGGGATGTGTACTGTCGACTGTATAACAAAGATAATGAAGGGGATAAAGGGTGCCACTATAGATTGATTGATAACTTTTTCTTGATTTTTTTTTTTTTGCTTCCTAATTCTAAATTATAAGGCATTTAAGTGAATTTACTTTTTCTTTTGGTAATTTTGAGAAAAATGGATGTCTTATTTATGACATAGATCATTGGAAATTGATTTCTTGCTCTATTAGATTCTATTACCTTCTGCCTAGCTAAGTTGAGACTGTGGCTCAATTCTTTGTGTTGAGAAAATTTATCATGAGAAGTGGTATTATGTGATGACTTTAAATGGAAAGAAGAGAATTTACATATAGATTGATGCTTATATATTTAGCTTGAGATCTTGACTCTGTTCTATGACATAAAGTTTTGGGCTGCAGCAAATAGAACAGTGAGTCTGTATCAAATGGGTGATGTGACAACAAAATGTTTTGTAAAGAGCTTGAGCCCTGGCTGGTGTAGCTCAGTGGATTGAGTGCTGGCCTATGAATCAATGAACTGACAGTTCAATTCCCAGTCAAGGCATTTGCCTGGGTTACAGGCCAGGTTTTCAATGGGACACACATGAAAGGCAACCACACACTGATGTTTCTCTCCCTCTCTTTCTCCCTCCCTTCTCTTCTCTCTAAAAATAAATAAATAAATAAATAATATATTTTTAAAGAGCTTGTGATGGTTTGTGAGCAACATCATTTCATTTATTAGGTAGATCTACTACACAGGTATATTTAAGCAAAATCTCTCACATTCTTTGAAAACAGCATTATATTATATTGAAACATGAAATTACCATTTTATGGTCAAAATGGAAATGCTCTATTTTTGAAATCATAAGTTTTACTCAATCAAAATACGTAGTGTTAGGATTTCTGCCATGCCCAACTTGGAGAACGGGTACCAGATATTCTCCCACTTGAAATTAACATCCAAGGATTAACATCCCAGTGTCAGAAAAATATTATATATTTCATTTTTATAAAGTTTTACATTTTTGGATTATATGTATAAGTTGTTTGAAGACACCAGTTACTATGTTTTAATTGGGGATTTTTGTGTTTTTTTAGAGCTCTAGTCCATGAGAGAAAGATTTTGCAAATGTACATATAGCAATTTTGTAGCTTAATTCATTTAACTTTGCTGTGGTCAGTTTGTGACACATGTAGTTGAGTGTCGTCATGAAAATGTATAGGTCCATGTCTGTTAACCAATTCATGTGCTTTAGGATTAATTTTTAATGCATAATTTCAATTTCTTGGTAACATGCTATTGCTGTTGTCTTATCTGGAGTGAAAAATGGAATAATTAATTATAATTTTTGCAGGTCAGCATATAGTCATTGTACTTTTAGGGATTGCATTAATGGTTTCTCACATGATTGAGAGGTTTTCCAGCATCCAGTCATTGTCCAAATCATTTTTGATTGTCAGGTTATGATTTCCAAAAATGGTTTTCTGTTGTTTTAAATCTAAAGTGATATCCATACCTCCACTGTCTGAATTTTTTATCACTTGTCAATTGGTGTACCAACTTGTATAATTTCTTTCTTTCTCCCTGTTTAAACCAGGTTTCAAAGAAACTCATACCTGAAACACCTAAGTTGGTTCCAAGACCTCAGATTATTGTCTGTGGATTAGCTTCTGCTCTCTCTTAATCAATCTTGGTTTAAAATGGATTTGGGTCTCTTTTAAGGTTCATGTAAAAAAAATATTCTTATTTTAAAAATTGAGACATAAGTCATGCAACATAAAACTCACACTTTTGAAATGTACAATTTAGTAGGTTTTAATATGTTCATAAAGTTGTACATCTGTCACCATTATCTAATTCTAGAACATTTTCATCACCTGAAAAGAAACCCCTTATAAGAATAATTTTTGAAATTAAAGTACCAGGAATAAAATTTTTTTGATCCATCACCAAATAATCCTTGAGCAACAGAGCCCTCTCTGAAGGCCAAATTGCTGTTTCTACCTGCCTTATTTTTCATATATCTTAGCTTAAATTTATATTTTAAAAAGTTCTCAATTTTGGGAGAGTTACCATGTTTTTATTTCTGTGAAAAAAAATATTAAATGAAATAAATAAGTAATTAGAGAAATTGAAGTCATAGTACCATCATAAATTCTAGACAGCACGATCAGGAATATACTTTATGTCAGCTCTTATTATGTATAATTTTCTACTAGTCAAACATTGTCTATTTTATATTGTTTAACCTAATTGAATAGGGGAGTCAATTTGACCTGGTTTCAAATTTTGTCTCCTCTACTTCCTAACTATATTATTTGTCCACTCTGATAACTTTCTCCATTTATATAATGAGCTAAAGCAGGTCTGCATTTGAACATCAAGACAGAATTCATGACTACAGAAGAAATACACGACTTTAACATTGACAGTGAAGACATTGCAGTTATTAAGGTTTTGCTTACCTTGATTCATTCATCAATTCAGATAAAATCTGCACTCAAGAAATTAAAAGAAGAAATTCAGATCCAAGGTGGCGAAGGAGTAAATGGAAACTACACTAACAAACCTCCCAGGACCAATCTGGAATTACAAGTAAATTGTAGAGAAATCATCAACTGAACACTAGGTGGGGAAAGCCTTATAACCAAGGACAGACTGAAGAAACCACTTCACCACAACAAAACAGGTAGGCAGTGCAGAGTAGACATGAGAGGGCTGGCTGGGCTCCCAGGGGCAATAGCTAAAGTTCCAGCGGAGTATTTCAGCACCCAGGGATTTCCCCCTGAGAAGTGTGGGGTCTAAACCCCAAGCTTGGCTCCCCAGTCTACAGCACCACAGCTGGAAAGGAACCCAGATAACATCCAGCTGTGAAAAGCAACAGGATTTCTATCTTCCAGGGAGAGACAGCTGGAGATGTAGAGAGCCTCTTAAAGAGCCAATGCCCCAAATTTCTTTTGCAGCCACTTACCCTGGGCTCTGGCAGAGGGAAGGCAGAGTGGATTAGAAATGCTTGAGGAGAGTCTGGGACTGGTGGCTCTGGGCAGAGAACTGAAGAAACAGCTACCAGAATACATGTGCTGTGTCATCCCCCATACTACAGAAGCCATCTTTGTCAGGCAGAGCACTCCTCTCTAAGTGGCATCAGCCTGAGGGGGAGCAACAGTGCTGCCCACAGGAATTGCGCTACCCCGCTGTGTGGTGC